ATATATAGACTATATATAGAGAGACTATAGACTATATATAGAGACACTATATATATGTAGAGAGAGAGAGACTGACAGACAGAGAGTCTCACTCTGTTACCTATACTGGATTGCGATGGCACAATCATAGCTCACTGCAGCCTCAAACTACTGGGCTCAAGTGATCCTCCCACCGCAGCCACCAGAGTAGCTGGGACTACAGTCATGTACCACCATGCCCGGCTAAAATTTTTTTTTAGTTTTGTAGAGTCGAGGTCTCACTACATTGTTCAGGGTGGTCTCAAACTCTCAGCATCAAGCAATGCTCCCATGTCAGCCCCCCAAAGTGCTGGGATTGTAGGTTTGAGCCATCGTGCTGAGCCTGAGACCGTTTCTTTTGGGGGTGAAGAATATGTTCTGGAATTAGATAGTGGTGATTGTTGCACAATTCTGTGTATATACTAAAAAACACTAAATTGTATACTTTAAAATGGTGGATTTTATGGTATGTGAATCATATCTTAATAAAGCTGTTATTGAAAAGGAGAAAGAAGAGAAGAGAAAAGGAGAAGAGGAAAAATAACTGGATCCTAAAGATAAACTGTTAGCAGTGAAATTATCCAGTAGGGGGCTGGGCGTGGTGGCTCACACCTGTAATCCCAGCACTTTGGGAGGCCAAAGTGGGTGGATCGTTTGAGCTCAGGAGTTCGAGACCAGCCTGTGCAACATAGTGAAAATTCTTTTCTATAAAATTTTTAAAAATTATTTGGTAAATTCTCATATTTTTATGTACATTGTCAGATGGGCACACATAAAATTATTACTAATTCAAAATCCCACCAAGATTTTGACTAATGGTCAAAAACCCCACCTACATAGGAACAAAGGTTTATTTTTCTTTATTCTCCCATATACTCCCATAACCCCATCCACCCAGAAACAATCATCACTAAAACCTTGGTGTAAATTCTTTCACACCTTTTCCTTTCCTCTTCTATTTCTAGACATGTAAAATGCTTGAATGTATATATTTCAAACATAAGAACCATCATATGATCATATGATACAAACTTCAGATCTTTCTTTTTCTCTTAATGTGGTCTACGGACACATTATAGATCAGAGTCTTTTTTTTTTTTTTTTTTTTTTTTTTTTTTTTTTTTTTTTGAGACAGAATCTTGCTCTGCTCACCCAGGCTCAAAGTGCGAGTGGCATGATGGCTCAACAACCTCCTCTCCCAAAGTTCAGGCGTTCCTGCACTCAGCCTCCCGATGGCTAGGACTACCCTGCCTCAGCCCCCCGAGTAGCTGGGACTACAGGTGCGCACCACCACACCTGGCTAATTTTTGTAATTTAGTAGAGACAGGGTTTCACCATGTTGGCCAGGCTGGTCTCGAACTCCTGACCTCATGATCCACCCTCCTCAGCCTCCAAAAGTGCTGGGATTACACGCGTGAGCCACCAACCCCAGCCATCATTTTTTTTTTTTTAAGTTGCAAAAACCAGTGTTCCATTGTATGGATTTACCATAAAAAATAATGAAAATTCGTGTTGTAGTTTACAATTATTTAAGTGCACATATTTATACATATATCTTTGGACACTTTTATGCTTATTTCCAAAACATAAACTCTTAGCAGTAAAATAACCCAGTAAAATTCTATATGCTTTTGATATGTTTATGGACATTGTCAGATGAGCCAAATAAAATTAGAACTAATTTAAAATCCACCCCCCCAGGAGCATTAGAGTACATTTTTCTCTGAACCGGGGCCACTTTGAAAAATTTTGAAAGAGGCCTCTTAAGAGAAGAATTTCTCTGTTTTGGTGAATAAATCTGGTTCAATTTTCTTACCTTCAGCCTCTGCCATTGTCGACTCTGCCAAACAGGAGAGAATTAAGAGGGTCAGTGGCATGAGCCTTCTTACAAGCTCCATTTTGGCAAGGGGCTGAGCAGCCTTAAAGACTGGCAGCTTTTATAGCCTCTGTGTTACATCAGCTTTCTGGACACCTCCAGGGAAACGTCAGTTCCAGCCATGCAATGGGGTAGATTTGTGTGAGAACAGAGCAGCTGTGTGACTGGTTTCTTATCAGCAGTCCCCACAGTGAGGGTTCCCTCTCCTCAAATCCTTCCCGGAAGGGTTGACCCCTAGTGGAAGCTCTTTGTGGGGATATCCAGCAGCTGGTTCCCAGCAGGCACTGAGTTATTTTCCATGAAACTGATGGGGAGCTGTGCCTTTCTTCTGTGCCTGCACATCACAAACAGGTGGCCTCATTGACATCTTTGAAGTCTTCAGGGCTCTGCTTTGAGAAGAGAGCCTGTGGCAGAACAAACGCCAGTGGGGCAAGGCAGGTGGTGCAGCACCTGGGCAAAATCTGGGTCCAGCTGGGACATTCAGATGCCCTGCCAGTTGGCTAACCCTGTGGGGGAGGGGAAGAGGGTAGGGATGAAGAGAAAAAAGAGGACAGATCCAGATTCCCCTACAGGGATTTCTAAGCAGTTATGTCTGGAGAGGCTGAAGCAGGTGAATTAGTCTCTCAGGCATGGTGTTTTGCAGCTGAGAGAAAGAAATCCTAGTGTCCACAGTGAGACTGGGAGGAGCAAGTGGTGGTGGGTGGGGGCTGCCCTCTTTTCATTCAATCAGTAAATATTACTTATTGATCTAGGGCCTAAGCAATATAGAATTGAATGTGAGAGATGCAGTCCTGCCCTCATGAAACTTGTATTCTAAGTGGAGAGTTAGACAACAAAAATAAATGAAGAATTCAAATGGCGAGAGGAGCTATGGATACAATAAACAGGCTGACTGCATAAATGGTGGTTGCCTTGGGGTGGGGAGGAAACCTGACAGTGAGAAGGAGGGCATCTTGAGAGATGAAATCGGAACAAAGGCAGAAAGATAAGAGGGAGGCATTCATGGGTGATCTGAGCTTGGGGGTTGCATCTTAGGCAAAAGAGAGGGCAAGTGCACAGGCCCTGAGGCAGGGACCAGGTGGGCACACCTATAACAGTACGGAAGAAAGAACAGCCTGGCTGGACATGAGTGGGAGGAATGAGCTGGGAGGGGAGGATGGAGAGGAGCAGGTGAAGGTCAGATGGGGAAGGACCCATAAGGTAAATGAGTCTGGGTTTCACTCTAAGTTCAGGTGGAACATATTGAGTAGACAATGCCAGGACTGGCTACTTTCTGAAGAACCTTTGTGCAGCTCTGGGGAGGTCTGACGCCCGTGTAGGCTGAGTCTCCTAGGGTGAAACCCTCTGGCTACCGTCAGCCCCTCTGTGTTGTTCTGATGGTGCTGAAGCCCAGGACACCTCCCTAGGGAGAGCACAGTCCTACACTGTGACCCAGGGGATCCATTCCTTATTGGGCCCTTGTAGGGGAAAGGCAGCATCTGGGATGCTCAGGAGGAGCTTGGATACTCCCCAAAGCCCCTGCCTGGCTCTGCTCCATTCCTGTCTGCCCGGGCTGGTTGTGGATGATGCAGGACTGGGTGTCCTGGGGTGAGTTAGCAGGGCACAGGTGTTTGAGACTGGGGACCTTTCTGGTTACTAATCGCTTGCAGCTGTGTCCATGAATACCCACCCCCACCCTGGGCTTTCCCTCTGAACCCCTCTTTGTCACCCATGGCTGGGATCTCCAACATCCCTAATCCATCTCCACTGAGTGCGAGAGTTTTGTGGCCACACTCTGTCAGGTGGCCCTGGTAAAGGACCCAGGTTTCCAGGTCTAGTCAGGAGAGAAGCCACCTTGAGGCCTCTGGCAATTTCCTGGGGGCCATGGGGTGCTGTGGAGTCACCCTGCATCATCTCACTGCTTTTTCCCTGTCACCTGTGCAAGTCTCCACTTCACATCAAGGACACAGCGGCTCAGATGAGTAAAGGGACTTCTCCTGGTGAAGGCCAAACTGGGATGGGAACTGGGTCCATAGGGCTCTAAAACTCATGTGTGGTGCTCTGTCCTCCTGCTAATGGGGGTATCCTGAAGACCTTTGTCCCACCTGCCTCCCTCACAGCCCCTGCAATACCTGCACCAGGAGTAATCACCCACATGGGGAGGCCCTGGCACAGGCGTCCTGGGTCCAGAAACTGGGCCACCCATTGTGTGGGATAAGAGGGGATTTATATGTGCTCCATCTGTCAGAGCCTGCTGGTGACAAGAGAAAATCAAAGGCAGGGGACAGAGACAGTGCCCAGAAACTTAAGGGGGACAGGTGACCTCCGGCTGGAGGCTGCCCGGATTTGGCCTCTTCCCAAGCATGCTGGGGCTGGAGGCTCAGCCTCCAGGAAGTGCTCGGCCTCTACAGACAGCTCTTCCACCCACATATGGCCCGTTTCTGTGCCTAGATGTCACAGCTGTTTCCTTCATTGGCGACATCTGTTTTCCTTTTTACGCCCTTTTAGTAGATTACCATCTGTTACTAGCTAATAATTCTTCACATTCAGTATACATGTGATGGTCACAAGCAAGGGTTTAGTTCATGAGAGGAGTGGACATGCGGTTACAGATGGGGAATCATGCTTAGAAAGGGGTTCCAGGAGGCTCAAGCGCAGGAGCTGGAACAGAAGGCAGCTGGGAGTAGAAGTGGGGAGTGGTGCTTCCTGTCACCTGTTGTGGTCAGGGAGTCTGGGCTTTGGCCTTTGGCTGGTGGTTGGTGTTACAGTTGAAGATGTTGATGGCTGGATCAACACACATCACTGTTACCATGATCCACGAAGGAGCCACATGCTCTGGAGATTTGGGGATTGCAGTAGGAAGAAACTGGTTTTCAAAAGGTCCTTTTGAGGTCACTGAGCTCAGGCCTATCTTACACAGGTCAGACAACTTTAACACAGGGAGGTCCTGCCTGGCTCCTCTCACTGTCTTGGATAAATGGACAGGACAACAGGACAGGTGTCAGGACACGACACCATTTTCTGCGGTGGATGTCAACCATCCAAGCCCTCACAAGAGCTAAATGAGTGACTCCAGCTGAACAAGATCAGCTGGGCTGAAATTGGAAACGTTGTAAGAACAGTGTGCATTTTCCTTCTTGGGTGGGAAATGTGCTGGACACTTTTATTCCAATTCTCTTTCTTCTATTGCAATGCTACAAGCTAATTCCTCCATATTCCAAAGTGAGTAATAAATATATTTAAACAAAGAATGTTTATAATTAACAATCAAAAAATATTGGCGGCAAAGAGGATTATTTTTAATAGTGTACATTTATTCAAAAGTATATAAAACAACACTGTAAATTATATAATCTCACATAAAAACTCTAGAACTTGATTTAAATAACAAAACAACCTACTAAGAAAGAAATATTGCTCATGAAGATTTTTGTGCCCACCTTTTCCAAGTCAGAGGCCCTCATTTATGTCACAACAGCAAGGTGGCAGGGCATCAAAACTGGCATACATTCTACATCCTTCACAGCACTGCAGGGCAGGACAAGACTCCATGGCAATGGTTTTGGCCTGGCTGTTCTTGGCCCACCACACCTTGTCTGGGTTGTGATTTTTTACAGCCACAGCCTCAGGGTCCTTTGCAGCTCTTGAGAAAAGACACACACAAAGCACAGGCTTAGAATTTTTCTTCTCAGTCCTTTTGTTAGAACTGTTGGGGGTATTGGAAGTTTAGTGTTGAAGCCAGTCAAACATTAACACCAGTCCTACATTAAGGCTCTCTCCCCTGTCCCAAGTTCCTCTCCAATCCTTTCCTCTCCTATGATTGCTATAAATGTAAACTGAGGTTACAAAAGTAAGGGTGAGTGAATTCGCAAGCAAGGTCACCCAGCTGGTCACTGCAGGCCCCCGAGATGCAGGAATGATGGGAAGGTGCTGCATTCAGCTGCGTCCTGGGCTCCAGGATGTGCCATTATGAACTCCTTAGAATGGGGACACAACTGCATCTGACAACCAATCTTTCTGGTACTTAAAGGGTCTTCTCCCCAAAAATGCAATCTTCTCTTATCTGATCTACCCTCCCTTGTCCACTGTCCCCCAGGTTTTTCACACAGGTCAGATGTCCCTGAGATCTAGAGCCCCAGTCATTTTCCCCAAGGCCACCAGAAACAAATGGAGGAATACCCTGAGAACTCCCAACTCAGGCAAGAAGAGATCAATCCAGCCCGTCCTCCACATGAGCACAAGGCAGAGCTCATTCACGCAGTCTCCCCCTCAGAATCTGCAGCCTGCAGTGCCCAGGACAGAGGAAGGCTTGGCCAAGGTGCTGAATTAAACACCTGATGGTAAACTTAGTGAGATCCAGTGACAGCCAAGCAGTGCTGACACTCACAGGCCCAAGCTGAGAACATTCTAACCACCCCAGCCAGAAAGAAAAAACATAACTAGACTCAGCTGTCTTTTTGCCTTTACAAAGCTTCTTGTTCTTCTTGACCTCACCCAGGAGTATGGCCACAGCAGCAAGGAATGACCTTGCTCCAACAGGGAGCCCAGGTATCCCATTGATGGAGTGTTATCTATCCCCTTTTCTCCATGTGACTCACTTTAGTGCATTGTTTATTTTGAACATGTGACTCACTTTAGTGCGTTGTATATTTTGAAGTAAAGACAGAGCACGACAACTATCAGCAGGAGCAAGGCTGCCAGGATACCACCAGCAATGACAAGCATAATCACTGTACGGAGGTCAAAAGACTTCGATGTACCTAGGCAGAGAAGTACAAGCAAGCACTGAGCCCACGTGGCCTCCCTCCCCACACAACCACCAAGCAATGTCAATGTCAGGGGAGGAAGAAGAAACCCCAAACACAGATCCTTATGTGTGTAAAACACAAATGTCTTCCCAGGGCAGTCTAGGATCCCAAGCTGGCCCAGAGATGGAAAAAAAGAAAAAAAAAAATCCATTTGTCAATGAAAAGGAATGGAAATGCAAAGTCCAGAGAGAAGGCTATCAGAAGGACAAACAGTGGGAAGAATTGTTCCCTTTCACAGGTGTGATGTGCAGCTGGAAACAACAAGCAGGCCTGCAGTGGAGCTGATGGCATCACTCCCCAGCACCTGGGCCTCCTGAGCTATACTCATTTTCAGAGTCAGAAATGACCCCTCACTGGATGTCAGGCTCAAAGCTCTTCTGTGGAAATGACTGTTTTCAAATGTTACTGTCCCAACCATACTGAGAATATGCAAATCCATTTTGTAAATGATGCATATTTTAGGAAAAGAACTTTACAATTCTTCCTCTGACAACTGACATTTTTCCTCCTAAATCTTAAATTCTCCCAAGAAATCCAATTTGAGATAAAAAATTCGTTTAACACTCTGAAACTGGGAAAAAGTGAGCCAGGAGAGAAGAATAAACAATCTGACTGCCAAAGCATACTTACCACCTTTTAACTCTTCATGGCTGGGTGAAAGCCAATAGTAAAATAAAATTACAATCAAAGTAAACTTTAGGGAATGGGACATCTTATCAGGAATTTCTCAAACTTTTAATTTGAGAAAGAAAATTCTAATGATTAACATCCAAAGTTGAAGACCTCACTTTTAGAAGCAGTCTTCCAGTAGAGCTAGCAGAATGGATATCCACAATCTAGTTTCAACTTCTGTGCCAATCAGGACACAGGCTGTGTGACATCAACACTCTGGACACCAGCTCTCTTTCATGGAGTTCTGAATTCCATTCCACTTCCAGATATATTTTAGCACCAATGGAAGTAGATATATCTAAATACTCTCTTAAGCCATGTAATATTCAATCTCCCCTTTTCAGGCTTTGTTTCCCTCAGAGAAAAGTTTTAGTTAAGAGTCTGATTCCCAGAGATGCCATGTTATATTATTTTAAATGTCCACTTTTCCAAAAAGCCTATAAGAAAGTATGGCCCATAAAGGAGTAGGGGAGCAATAAATAAAAAATTTTTCTGGAAGAAGCCCAGACATTGGCCCTACTAGAAAAGACTTTTAAAGTCTTTTAAATATGTTCAAAGGAATCCATGTCCAAAAAACTAAAGGAAAATATGAAAATAATGTCTCATCATAAAAAATACCAATAAAGATAAAAATTATTAAAAAGAACCAAACAGAAATTATGGCATTGGAAACTACAATGACTGAAATGAAAAATTCACTAGAAGGGCTTAATAGCGGATGTGGATTGACAGAAGAAAGAATCAGTGAACTTGAATATAGTTGAGATTATCCAAACTCCAATACAGAAAGAAAAATAAATGGGTAAAAATGAACACAGGACTTCTGGTTTCTGTGCCAGCATGTGAAGGGCTTAGGAGTCATCATTCCCATCTTCACAACAAGTAACAAGCTGAATAAACTGACTGAAGAATCAACAACTCTTAAGTCAACCAGAAAACTGGTCACAGGGCAAACAGCCACCACCAAAACTAAAGAGAGAAGTGAATATAGAGAATCTCAGCTTAGAAGCAGAAGCCATTACCAGAGCCAGCAACTGGTAAGAACACTTACATGGTAACTGATGTCTTCCTGGATGATGAATAGGGACTAGCATAATATTTTAAAACTCCTGAGAGTCAAATTTTGTTTTGTTTTTTGTTTTGTTTTGTTGGGTTGTGGCTCACTTTCATGAGTCATATCTCCAGGAGTATTGCAGGAAGTCAGGGACCCCGAATGGAGGGACCAGCTGAATCCATGACAGAAGAACATAAATTGTGAAGATTTCATGGACATTTATTAGTTCCCCAAATTAATACTTTTATAATTTCTTACACCTGTCTTTACTACCGTCTCTGAACATAAATTGTGAAGATTTCATGGACACTTATCACTTCCCCAATCAACACCCTTGTGATTTCCTATGCCTGTCTTTACTTTAATCTCTTAATCCCGTCATCTTCGTAAACTGAGGAGGATGTATGTCACCTCAGGACCCTGTGATGATTGCGTTAACTGCACAAATTGTTTGTAGAGCATGTGTGCTTGATCAATATGAAATCTGGACACCTTGGAAAAAGAACAGGATAACAGCAATGTTCAGGGAACAAGAGAGATAACCTTAAAATCTAACTGCCAGTGAGCTGGGCGGAAAAGAGCCATATTTCTCTTCTTTGAAAAGCAAATAGGAGAAATATCACTGAATTCTTTTTCTCAGCAAGCAACATCCCTGAGAAAGAGAATGGCCCCTGAGGGTAGGCCTCTGAAATGGCTGCTTTGGGGGTGGCTGTCTTTTATGGTCGAAGGAGAAGGGATGAAATAAGCCGTGGTCTCCTGTAGTGCTCCCAGGCTTATTAGGATGAGGAAATTCCCGCCTAATAAATTCTGGTCAGACTGGTTGTCTGCTCTCAAACCCTGTCTCCTGATAAGATGTTATAAATGACAATGTGTGCCCGAAACTTCATTAGCAATTTTAATTTTGCCCCATCCTGTGGTCTTGTGATCTTGCCCTGCCTCCATTTGCTTTGTGATATTTTATTACCTTGTGAAGCATGTGATCTCTGTGACCCACATCCTATTCGTACACTCCCTCCCTTTTTGAAAATCGCTAATAAAAACTTGCTGGTTTTACCGCTCAGGGAGCATCACGGAACCTGCCGACATGTGATGTCTCCCCCGGACACCCAGCTTTAAAATTTCTCTCTCGTACCCTTTCCCTTTATTTCTCAGACCAGCTGACGCTTACGGAAATAGAAAAGAAGCCACATTGAATATCGGGGCTGGGGTTTCCCCCAATACAGGAGCTCACCTGGTTCTTATAATGAAGACTACAGGAAAATCCCTTTATATTTTAGTCTCCACTGACACTGCAGTGGAGTTGGCCTTATTACCACTATGAGATAATAAAAATGAAATTTCACCAGGCCTCCTCTGGTGCCACCCCAGAAGTTAAGTGGAAAGTTGTCTCATTACCTACTGGGTCAGAGAAGAAATCCAGACTCCCCAAGGGGTCTCCACTGATACCACAGGGGTCAGAGTTGAGTCTCTGCTCTTTATTCATCCTTCTCTGACACCACCCTGGTGGAGGGGTGCTTTGGGATACTTCTTTACCGCTTGGTAATAGTAGACTCCTAGGTTCTCTACTCAGTCTTCGCTGGTGGAGTTGGGATAAGGCCATAGTTTTTTCTACAGTGTTTGCCTAGAATGCAGAAGTTATTGTCTAAAAGTTTTCTGTCTTGTTGAATTGCCCATTTCCTGGTCTTTTGGCCAGAAAAACTAGTTTCTTGTTGGGGCTCTTTTGTCTGAACCCATTGGTGTTTCCAAGTTGCTCAATTCTTCAGCTCCAAGTTTAGGAATCTGAGACAAAAAACAAAACTTATGGAACTCACTACCATGCTATTACTTTGATCCCAAGGTCCCTAGCTAGCCTTCCTTCTTCTCTCCACCTATTCAAGCCTTATGTTTGTTTTCTATATAACATCCATGGATTTTAGTTGTACTTAGGAAGAATAAGAAAAAGTATCTCTTCCCCTAATATGCGAAATTTTTAAATCAGTCCTCTGCTTAAAAGCCACAGCCTCTGCACCAACCCTACACTTGCTCAATCCTGAAAATGAGTGTCTCCTTAAATTGTGTACCCTGGGCCCTTTGCATGTGTTATCCAGACCATATCTCGACATAACATCTTTCCAGCCTCATCTCCCTCTGTGTTACCCCACACCCCATGTATTTTCATGCCTCTGACCTGGTTAGATGGCCCTCCCTGTCCCTCACCTCCTCTATCTGCTGAAATACGATCCTGCAAGACTTCAATAAAATGCCACGTTCTTATAAAACCTTCAATGATTTCCGTCTCTCTCCCTCTTGTGTTAATTGTCCTCTCCCTATGTATCCATGCCCTTTGTTTGTGCCTATATGGAAATTTGAATTGTTGACTAAGTGTAGTGGTTCAAGCCTGTAATCCCAGCACTTTGGGAGGGTGGGGCAAGAGGACTAGATTGAGCCCAGGAGTTTGAGATCAGCCTTGGCAATATGGTGAGACCCCATCTCTACAAAAAATTTTAAAAATGAAAATGAAAATAAATTAGTCAGGTGTGGTAGCAGATGTCTGTAGTCCCTACTTGGGTTCAAAGGGATATAACCCTAAATAAGCTTAGTCATCATTAAGGAGCTAGGGCCTGTGGACCCTCACCATGGGGATGACTACTTCATCTCTCAGTTTCCTTCTATTTCTGTGGTTACTTGATTGCTGTTTGATAGTCTGTGGGCTTGTGCATTTAAAGTTTGCTTTTTCAAGGTGTTTGTGAGCTCCATGGGGGCAGGAGCTCTGCAACCCTAGGTATCAGAGAACCTGCAACCTATTAGGTGCTGGCACATGTTATGATCATTGACCGAAATCTGAATTTTGTCAATCTGGCACTCATCACTTTCTCCAACTGAACCTCTAAATTTAGACAGTGCAGTGACTCAGACATAGCAGTTAAACCCTGACTAATATTATTTCATTGATTAAAAAGAATGCATACTTTCTACATTGCTTGTAAGTCACCAACATTTAATTACTTCCAATATGTTTTAGTAATATCTTTCTGAGTTGTAATGAAGACAACCAGGAGGCAATAACTAAAACCTCTGTTTGAAAGATGAGGAAACCGAAGCTCAGAGAGTGGAAGTGACTCCCTTGGGTCACACAGCAAGTAACTGGCAGCAAAGAAACTAGGACCTGGTTCTATAATCCTTCCCTCCATCTCCTGTTTCCCAAGTCCAATGCTCTTCCACCCCCAGCCTTCCTGAACCTTCTGAAATGATGTGTTGTTCCCCATTCCCAGTCCCCCTAACTCTATTATTCAAAGGCTGTGATTTTGGCTGTCAGCTGAAAGATCTGCAAATAAATCTAGTTGCATTTCATCTAAGGAAGGGGCTGATTTTTGTGTTGATGTTTTCATTCAAAGCAGTATCTCACTGATGATTCACATGTGGTGACTACTCAAGAGTACTGAGAGGAACGGGGCCATGTGTTCCAGACAGCAAAAGGTAGGCAGCAACTGTGCTCAGAATCAGTGAGTTCAACTTTGCAAAATGCAATTCCTGATACAGGGGCTGGCCTTTTCTCTATGGAAATTCTCTGTAATTCACATCCACATGGACTTTCACCCAAGTCAGTTATTTGCAAACTGCCCATCCTGTGACTAACACCTGAGTCAAATGGTTGCAACACCCTGAAGCATGCTAAATTGCATCTCTGGAGACAGAAGCATCCTGGATCCAAAACTACGTAAGCCTGTGAGCTCCCTACTTGACCCAGTTCCCATCTCTGTGCCTCCTCCACAGCTCTTTCTGCTCTGCTCCCGGAAAACTCTTTACCTTCAGACTCTTGGTGCAGATGGGGACCTTGCTATGGCACTGGCAACTGCCATGAAAAGAGCTGGGTTTTGTCCCAGAGCGAGGATCTCCTTAACTTGATCCTTTATTCTCAGAGAAATAAAAATTGTGGTGAACAACATGCAATCGGATTTTATGAACTGCCAAGGTTTGAAGATAGTTTCTGTGTCTTTGTAAAATCTAAATGGCACATTTTACTATATGTCCCAGAACCAGATTACACCTCTCTTCCCATCTCCCAAATTCTCATCCAATCATTCCCTCCGAAACTTTATGACTGTAAAATCAGTTTTAAAAGAACCAAAGAGAAAAAACTGCAAACTTAGTGATGGATTACCATGTTCTACCTTATCAGTGCCTGTCTAGGTGATCCATGCAGATCCCCCAGAGGTGCAGGTATGACAAGGAAGGTCACAATCTGCCATGCACTGGGCTCTGGGATCTGCCCTCTAACTCGCAGGCTTAACTTCCACAAAATGTGACAAGACTGAGTCTGTCAAACCAACCTCTCATTTCTTGGGAGGCATTCTTCTCGATACTCACATGATTCAAGAGAAGTAACAGTTCATCTTATTTCACCTGCATACATAATGGCTCCTCTGCTCCAGGAAGGGCAAGAAACATTTCAAAAAGAGCTCCAACTTCATCATGGGTCAGACATCCTCTTGTCAGGCATCCTCCAGGGTCTTCCAAGTATAGCTTCCCATCTCACCATCTCTTAGGCAACTGGAGAGGGGAAAAGAGAACAGCTCAAGAACTCTGTAGCTCAGGAAAGGGGAGATCATTCAGCTTGTCAGTTTTTTCAGTCTATAGTGCCTCAGACAGAGGGAGAGCTCAGCTAACATGCTGAGTTAAACACCCAATAGGAAACTCAATTATTTAAAGTGACACCAAGGCAGTGCTGACACAAAGAGCCACCAGGCTGAGGACATTTTATTTACAAACTCACAGCCCCAAGCCAGAAGGTAAAAAAGCCAAGAGTGTACACAAACATGCCTTTGCCTTTCAACCTCTCCTGCTGTTCTTGACCTGAACCATATGTGGCTGCCACAGCAAGGAATGCCCCTGCGGAAGCAGAAAGTGTCCAGGTATCCCATTTGAAGGGATGTCCCTCATTGTTAAGTGACTCACATCTTTGCCATGGCACATTAGAAAGGGACACAATCAGCACAGGGGCAGCAACCAGGACGAGACCAAAACCAACTATAATCTCTGTCCCAAGACCAGCAGTCTCAACGTTTATATGGATAGACACCCAACTTGTGGTGGCTTACTTTGTGAAAAGCCAAATATCCTCTATGAGGAGCTAAGCAGGCAGTGCCAACGATGTTCCCTGTGTAGCAAACAAGCAACCTCTTCTGCTGTTCTTGACCTGAACCATCTGTGGCTGCTGCTGCAAGGA